AGAGCCTGTCAGCTCTGGGGACTGGGGGGTACCCTGACGTTATGCTAGGATGCGGTTCCGGGGTGCCTCCTTTTAGTCCGTGCGGTAGTGCGTTATAGGGGGGAGTTTTTAGTCGGTAGGCTGCCGCTCCGGTGTATCCCCCGAGATCACGGGGCGGTGGAATCCGACACACCCGGTGGGGCGGGCCGCCGGGCGTCTTCCCTCCCCGATGGATGACCCTCAGGGGTTACCTACGGGTGAGGGCTTGCGAAGATTTTCTCCTCCCTCATAAAAAAAAAGGTCAGGTCAGGTCAGTTTAATAAAGCTCAATTAAAAAAAAAGTCCCAATTTTTTTTTAAAGGATGTCGACCCGATTTCTCCGAAATAATTATAATCGGACCCAAACCGACGCCATAGGATCTATGCCAACGGAATAAGGCCTAATTCGAAAAAAAAGTCCCAATTTTTTTTTAAAAGATATCGACTCGATTTCGCCAAAATCTTTATTATAGGGCCCAAACAGACCCCATAGAATCTACGCCAACTCCATAAGGCCCAATTCGAAAAAAAATGTCCCTACTTTTATTGGAACATAACGACCCGATTTCCCCAAAATCATTATAATCGGGCCCAACCAGTCATAATAGGGTCTCTGACAATGCAATAAAACCCAATTCGAAAAAAAAGGCCCAATTTTTTGTTAAAAGATGTCGACCCAATTTCTCCAAAATCTTCATAATGGGGCCCAAACAGACCCCATAGACTCTACGCCGACCCCATAAGGCCGAATTAAAAAAAACATGCCTCAACTTTTTTAAGAACATATCGACCCGATTTCCAAAAAATCATTATAATTGGTCACAAACCGACCCCGTAGGGTCTATGCCAAAGCAATAAGGCCCAATTCGAAAAAAAAGTAAATTTTTTTTATAAGATATCGACCCGATTACGCAAAAATTTTCATAATGGGCACAAACAGACCCCATAAAATCTGCGCCGACCCCGTAAGGGCCAATTCGAAAAAAAATGTCCAAACTTTTTTTAGAACATATCGACCCGATTTCCCCAAATCATTATATTCGGACCTAAATCAACCCGGCAAGGCCTATGACAACGCATTAAGACCCAATTCGAGAAAAAAGTTCCAAGTTTTTTTTAGAAGATATCGACCCGATTTTCCCAAAATCATCATAACCGGTCCCAACCAGACCGCATAGGTTCTATGCTATCTCAATAAGGCCCAATCCGAAAAAATAAACACAATTTTTTTAAAAAGATATTGACCAGATTTCGCCAAAATCTTTATAATGGGGCCCAAACAGACCCCATAGAATCACGCCGATCCAATACCCTGACCTGACCTGACCTGACCTGACGTGACCTGACCTGACCAGAATTGACTCGACCTGACCTGACCTCACTTGACCTTTTTTTTTTTTATTTGCGTAGGAGGAGAAAAATCTTCACAGCGCCCTCTCCCAGGGAGACCCGCAAGGGGTACAACCCTCGGGGGGGGGGAAGACGCCCAGCGGCCCGCACCACTGGGTGTGCCGGATTCGACCGCCCCGTGATCACGAGGATACACCGGAGCGGCCACCTACCGACTAAAAAGCTCCCCCTGGTCCAGACAAATTCGGCAATGCATATGTGGGAACACCCCGGAACCGCCTTCTGGCATTACGTCAGGGTGCCCCAAATGCGCGCGGGATGGCTCCCACCACTGAAACGCGGGTATCGTCTATTTACACGTCTATTTACACATCTATTTACACTTCTCCGCTCTCGCACACACGCGCAGCAAGTCCTGCGCGGGTCGCGACCACTCCGCATTAAGTAGTCCAACGCTAACCGTCCACCACCATCGCATCCTCCGCGGGGGGAACACTCCCCGACTCAGGGATGGTCGCGGCAGCGGCAACGTCGCACGCACCAAGCCGTTGTAAGGAGCACAACCGTCTCCACCAGCCCTATGTCCAGCCGGCAAATTCCTCGCCGCGCACACAGCGAAGCCCGACAGCCGATCAATTTGTGCCCCTCCTTCCCGCATTTAAAACAGCTATTACTCCTGTCCACGGCGCTCCTGCAGTTGACCCTGGTATGTCCCACCGCTAAGCACCGGTAGCACTGAAGCCTCCTCTTGTCCAGCGGTATAAGCACTCGCGACCACCCCACTCGCAGTCCTCCGTCCTTTCTGATCACCTCCGCGCAGGGCTCAGGGCACTGCAGCCACACGCTGTTGAGACCTCCTCCTCTGGGTCTCAGAGGTCCAACGCGCACGTCGCTCAGTGGTATCCTTCCTCTCGCCGCGACAGCCTCCTTGACTTCGTCGGCCGTTACGGACTCGTCCAAATCAACCAGACGGAACTCCATTCTCCTAATTGGGCGTATCACCCTCACTTCCTCTCGCTCTTTAAAGAGGGAGCTGAGCCTCTCCGCTAGAGAGTCCGCCTTTGTACCGGCGTCCTCTCCCTGTATCTCTATCAGCAGACCGTCGGTCTGCGCACGCCTTATTCTAGTGTCCGCGATACTCAGTTCCTCCAAGGGAACCTTCGACCTAGCCTCACCCATGACCTCCGCGTAAGACGGGCCACCCTCGTTGCACCGTATCACTATCACCGCGGAGCTTCTCTTCCGAGTCCCAGCACGTGCGGTCCTCTTCGCAGGAGCCACGGTTTCAGACCCAGACCTGGGACAGACCCGAGGATCCTTCCCCGAAAC